AGAAGGCATTTGTAAGTCCCAAGTGCCACCTTCACTTTGGAAGGTCTCCTGGAAGGGACCTCAGATCCACATCTCCAGAAGACCCTAGCATTTCCCCATTACTTATAACTTCTGCCCTTTTCAGGGATGCATCATTCCATCCCTATTGCCATGAGGTATTATCATCACCTTTTTAAATATTTTTTTTTGTTTTTTAATTGGAGATGGACACAATACATTTTATTTATTTTTATGTGATGGTTAGGCTTGAACCCAGTGCCTCACATGTACAAGGCAAGCACTCCACTACTGAGCTATAATCCCAACCCTTATCATCACCTTTAACAGGTGGAAAGAAAACTTGTCCCCATCCAAGGTAGGGGTCCAGGAATTAGGAACCCAGGTCCTGTGTGTAACTTCTGCAAGCACAATGATAAGTCACCACCATCTACAAAGTGGCCTGGGCACTGGGCACTGTTTCTGTCCCTTCTGAGAGGCCCCTAAGGCTGGCCACACATTCAAGGGCCCACAGCCACACCTTTTATGCTGAAATGGTACAAAGCCAGTTCCTATGTTAATAAACTTATCTTTTTAGATATTAAACCCATTACTTGTAAATGGTCACAAAAGTGGGTGCAGGAAGCTTTCAAAGCTATGTATATTAAGAAATGTTTACTAGGGCTGGGGATGTAGCTCAATGTTAGAGTTTGTGCTTAGCATAACTCAAGGTCCTATGTTCAATCCACAGCAACACCAAAAAGAGAGAGACAGTGGAAAGAAGATCAACAAAGTTTTCAATTAACTGTCCTTTTATCCACTAGGACAGTTTAGAATAAATGATAGCCCTCTCTTGGTGATTCCTGAGGATTTGGACTGGCAGTGAAGTCTGTTTTCAGAAGTTACTTTCCCTGCTTCCTGAATATGCATTCCTTATCAGAGCCCCTGGAGCCTTGTATTGGGGTCTGATTTCTTATCTACTACTAGGGGAAGCTGAGTGGAAGGCAATGAAACCTACAGGGAAATCAAGGGCAGCTGGTGATAGCTAGCCAGTGCACCTGAGCTGGGTGGGCACAGATCAAAGCCTGAAGGTATCAAAAAATATCAAAGAGAGAAAACTGCTTCAACTCTTCTCCCTCCAGAGCCAGCATTGTCAACGATACAAAGAACTTGGAAGGTGGAGGAGTATGGAATCTAAACAACACTACTTACAGGCTGGGGTTGTGGCTCAGGGGAAGAGTATGTGCCTTGCAAGTGTGAGACCCTGGGTTTGATCCTCAGCACCACATAAAAAAAAGTAAATAAATAAAAATAAAGTTATTGTGTCTATCTATAACTAACAATATTTAAAAAAAAAGAACATACACCTGTATCCCTCCCATCAGTCACTGTCATCACTAGTCTAATACTTACCAAAATGCACTTTTCCCTCCCTAAATGCACTTTTCCTGTCTCCAAACTCTATTTTTAGCTCTGTGAAGAATATAGATGCAGGCTGGAGTTGTGGCTCAACAGTAGAGCACGGGCAAGGCCCTGGGTTCAATCCTCAGCACCACATAAAAATAAATTAATTAATTAAACATATTTTAAAAAAAGAATATAGATGCAACCTCAAAAGCATCCATTTTCCTGGGGTAAGGAAACAAGACAGGAATTATTTAAGATTGACCAGAGGACATGGCTACTATTTTGCCTGGCATATAGTGAGATTTCTCCTACTTTCCAAGATATGCCAAAAGTCATAGGCATCAGAAAGCTGAGATTGTCTATTTTGATGTCTCTACATGTGCATGTGAGTTTCTCTCTCTCTCTCTCTCTCTCTCTCTCTCTCTCTCTCTCACACACACACACACACACACACACATTCATACACAGAGGCTGTGTATGAATACACATACTAATTAGTTTTTTGGTTTGTTTGTTTATGCAGTACTGGATATTGAATCCAGGGGTAATCTACCATGAGCTACATTCCAGCCCTTTTGTTTTTTGAGACAGGATCTTCCTAAATTGCTCCTGGTTGACCTCGAATTTGATTCTCCTGTCTTAGCCTTCAAAGTAGCTGGATGTGCCACCACACCCAGCAATGGGAGAGACTTGAAAAGACACAAGAGACTCAGGCAGAAAAAGCAGAAGTTAAGAGAGACACGTGCTGCTGTGTGCAACCCTAATACCACCATGGAGACCACCATGACAAGATAGCCCTTTTCAGCAATCAAGTCCTCTACACCAGGCTTTCACTTCTTGTTTTTTTTTTTGTTTGTTTGTTTGTTTTTGTTTTTGTTTTTAAACAGTGCTAGGTGTTGAACCCAGGGCCTCCTGCATGCCAAGCAACAGCTCTACCACTGAGTTATATCTCTAGCCCCCCCTTACTATTCTCCCTTAATAAATTTAAACACAGAGACCCAGCAGGGCATGGTGGTGCATGCCTGTAATTCCAGTAACTCAAGAAGCTGAGGCAGGAGGATCATAAGTTCAAAATCAGCCTCAGCAACTTAGTGAGACTTTGTCTCAAAAGAAGAAATAAGAAGGGCTAGGGATGTGGCTCAGTGGTTAAGTGCCCCTGGGTTCAATCCCTCATATGAAAAAAATAAAATAAACACAGAGACCCAGAGAGGTTGAACCCCCCTCCAGTGTCACACATCTTGGAAGACGGGTCTCAGGTTCAAACTCTTACCACTTCAAAGCTACCAAACTCTACTTCCCACACTTGGGGAGAATGTCAGGGAACACCCAGAGATGTGAAAAAAGAAAGAGCAGGAGACAGACACCTAGAATGTCAGTGCCAAGAAGGCTCAGATCCACTCTTCAGGAGACTGGTGCCCAGAAAGGCCAAAAGCACAGCAAGGCAGCTGCCATAGGTGATAACAGGTGAAAGTGTCACTGTCATAACTGCTGAGGTACGGTCCTGACATCACCCTAGACTCCTTAATTTTCTTACCCATAAAGTGGGAATAATTAGAATATGTACCTCATAGGACACTGTGAGCCATGAGATACACATGAAATATTATGTGAAATAAGCTCAAGGAAAGAGCTGGGCTGAGTAAGTACCAAACTCTCAGAGACTGTTTGGATACCTCTATACTATGCCCAGAGTGGAGGAGCACACAGGGGCACAGGTCATGAAGGCAGCAGCAGCCACAGCAGGCCTGGCCCACAAAGTTTGCCCTTAACTAGTGTGTGTACTTCTGTTTCTGAACACATGTGGTAGGCACAGAAGGGCCAGTTGAGAGTGCCCCCTCTACCTGTGCCTCAGCTGTTGGACTTCTTGCCCAGGAAGCCCTGCCACCTGCAGCTTCTGAGTCCCTGCAGATTGGAGCATTTATGGACATTTCATAATTTTTTCCACAAGTGTGCCAGCATCCTATTCAGACTGATCTATGCTTTTTTTCAATTATAAACATGTCTGAGAAATTTTTGGTGGGGGTGGGGTACCGGTACCAGGGATTGAACTCAGGGGCATTCAACTACTGAACCACAGCCCCAGCCCCTTTTTAAATTTTATTTTATTTAGAGACAGGGTCTCCTCACTAAGTTGCTTAGTGCCTTGCTTTTGCTGAGGCTGGTTTTGAACTCACCATCCTCCTGCCTCAACCTCCTAAGACACTGGGCTTACAGGCATACGTCACCATGTCAGTCTGGGGGATATTTTCAAGTTAGTATGCACAGAATTGCTTCAGTCTTTGCAGAGACTGCATGCTTAGGTAGAAAGTGTGCCTGTTTTTTCCATACCCTTGGTCATGAAATCTTGGGCAGAGGTCATAGACAGTGCCCAGGAGAAATCCCCATCTGTCCCCATCCTGCTGGGGGCCTCCCAGGGAGACAGAGAACCCCATGTCTCTGAATGAGAGATGCTTTCTACCGAGCCCAAAGGTTTCTCAGCCACTTAGTTCCCAAGGATACCTTACCAACCCCAATTCTCTATTCCCAACTTCCCCTACCTTCCCTTGCCCTGTGCCCGCCCTGAGCCCTCTCATTGATGGCAACTCTCTCAGTCCCCAGTAAACACAGGGAGAAGTAATGTCAGCCCTCCAGCTTGCTTGATTCTGTGCAGAGTCTGATGAATCTCCTGGAGGAATCATGTAGACGGTGGGTCTGGGGTTCCTCCTACCTGGCATCTCTACTTTCAGAGTGTGCCTGCCCCTCCCAACCCCTCCCCCAACTCTGGGTCAATGGCCTGGTAGAGTGTTCTACTCATAGAGTCTCTGTGTTCTGTCCCAGTTCTGTCCTAGTGGAGTGGAGAGCATCCCCTCTCCAACTTCTACCAACAACTTACCCATCTGGCCTTTCCCAGCAAGTCCAGGCCAGAGACCTCCACTTCCTTTTCAGCCATCCCCTTTACCTTCTAGATAAATTGTCCCTCATTTGGCAAAGAAGAATCAGGTAGGAAGAACAGCAGAACAGAGGCCTGATGAGGTCATCTAAAGGCATGTGTGTGACAGGGTGAGTTTGGCCAGCAACAAATAGAGCCAACTGTCTTCCTCCTGGTACTGCACCCCCCTCCGCCCAACTCCACCCCACCTCTGTGAGGTAGGCAGTTTCTGATTATGACCAGAGTCATATGTTATGAGGGCCTGGTCAGAGGGGAAGCAATTCAAGGAGTATCCGTCAGCCCCAGCCCTCTCCATCCACGAACACCCAGTTCAAGTAAAAGCAATGAGACCACTGAGCAAATGGAGCCTCAAGACCAGTTCTCAACTTCTCAACCACTCTACTGTCCCCAGGACACCCACACACAGAAGCCTTGGAACCCCCCACCCCATGGCAACACCTGTCTGTCCCCTCAATCACACCCCTCTGGACCATCTTTTAGAATTTAGGTGAATTAAGGAAGCTGAATCCTCCAGAGAGGGTCTGAGTCCTAGCCCATCCCTCTCCCTTTCCCCCTCATACCTCAGCTCTGAGCAGGCCTGGGACCCCAGATGGCCGTGCTCTGGGTGTGGCAGGTGAGCTGTCTCCTTAAGATTAGCACATGGGGAGGGGTGGCTGCAGGAATCCAAGGAGTCTGACCAGTTCCCTCCAGCCTGCTGGTGTGTTGCCCTGGGCGGGGCCCCTGGGTTTAAAGAGCCGGAACCCACCTGGGCTGTCCATAGCCCAGCAGGCTCCTCAGAACTCTGTGCACCTGGTTCAGGTGAGCTCTCGGGTGAGCAAGCACTTGCTAGGATTTTGAAGCTGCTAGGTGGAGGGGGGATGACCTGGGACCCATGTTCATAAGGGATGGGGGGTGCGCCAGGAATTTGAGTTATGGTATAGAGCTTAGAGGTTTTGAGGTCGGAGGCTGTAGCAGCCTCCTGGAGCTTGAGGCGTCTTACTTTGTGATCGCTGTCTGGATGATGGGTTGGAGGCTGGAGGAAAGAGGAGCCAGCCTTTGGCTGAAGAATATATGAACTGGAGATAAGAGCCTAAAAGTTCAGAAACTTTGGCAGAAAAGGGTGGGGGGAGAGGCCAACGAAGGGCAAAAGAAAGCCAGATTCTCAGACTGGCCTAGCATGTAATGCACTCCCACCTACTGCATTCAGAAGCCATGCCAATAGTACCTCCTCCTAGGGTGAAAGGACCCACGTGTTTGTTTACATATATATGTATTATAACAGGTTTTCAGTGCTAGGCATATTTCTTAGGCTAGACAAATAGTAGTTCATTTCATTCCATCGTTATAACTTACAAGGTTGCTATTATTTACAGGACCCTGAAGCCCAGAGAAGCAACTTGCTGAGTCACAAAACTGGTAAGTGGCTCAGAGAGGACTCAAGCCCAGCCAGCTGGCCTGGGATCTGTGATCTCATTAGGAGGCCAAAGCTGGGCATAGCAGATAATAACAGTGGCTTCAGAACTGAGCCTGTGACACGAGCCTGCCGGTGGCTAACAATATGCAGAAAGCTGGGAAGGGCTTTATCTCAAGGACTCAGCCACCTTAGAGACAAATAAATGGGATTGTGGGCAGCAACTACCTGCCTGAGAAGGATCAGTGTCCTACCCTCAGTGGATCTTTCTAGACCATATCATCTACATCCTGAGAGTGGAATCTAGGGCTGCCTGGAGCAGAGATGGGGGGTTGGCTGAAAGAGGAGGTCCTCACTGCAGCAGTCCCTTTTCCTCAGAGATGAGTGGCTCACTCCTTTTTGCCCTTTTGCCCTAGGTGCTGGGATTCTAGGGCTGTCTGGGAACTCAGCCAGAGAGTTCCAGAGTTTGGCCACCCCAGCTCAGACCCTTGTGAATAGCCAGGGTCTGATAGTCAGCACCCTCCAACCCTGACTTGGAAGAACAGCCACCTGATCTTGGGCATCTTGTTTCCCCTTTCTGAATCCCCCCCCCCTTTTTTTTTCCCTTCTGGAAAGGGAGATAATGATAATATCTTTCTAATGGGAAGAAAGGTGCTGTAAATATCTTATCTCCTCAAAAGCCTTCTATAGTCCTTACTATGTACAGGCACTGCTCTGAGTGCTTAACTAGAATTAACCAATCCACATAACTCCTCTAGGCAGTCTAGATGAGAAAACAAAATAGCCCAGAATCACCCTATAAGCAGGTGCTTTTGTCCAGGTTTGTATCCTACTCTCACAACGGGGCTCTGCCCTTCGCTTGCCCCCTCTTGCTAATGGGTTACACGATGAGCCTTGGGCAGATTTTGGATTGTGGACCCCAAACCACCTCTTTCTCCCCGTGTGTCTCACCCTGCAGTACTGCCTTACAAGTTGTGACATGGAAAGAGTGACCTGGGCCTTTCTCTTGGTGCTGGCAGGTAAGTCCTCTCAGCCTCTTGACATAGTTGTCTAGTCATCTTACTCACTGACCAAGGCAGTAAAGATCAGACAGCCTCTCCTAAAAGGAGGGTAGGTGTCCAATAAATGTGTTTACATTTAAACTGTCAACTGAAGGATATTTTAGTATGGTGGAATGTGGACTCTCAAAATTGTTCTAATGGTTCCTGAGTCATTGAACTGTGGAAAATTGACTATCTGTGGCACAAACAGAAAGGCATGCCCTGGCTGGACATGGTGGTACATGCCTGTAATCCTAGCAATTCCAGAGGTTGAGGTAGGAGGATTGCAAGTTGGAGATAAGCCTTAGCAACTTAGTGAGGCCCAAAGCAACTTAGTGAGACCCTGTCTCAAAATAAAACATAAAAAGGGTTGGAGGTGTAGCTCAATGGTAAAATGGCCCTAGGTTCAATCCCCAGAATAAAAAAAAAAAAAAAAGAAAGGCATGTCCTGTTTTTTTGAGAAGGCAGAAAAGTCACCTGTTTCTGGCAGAAAGCTTCCCAGGAAAGGTTAAACAGGTACCAACAAGTTATCTCATTCAGAATGCAAGAAAGAAGGCCCGGTGTGGCGGCACACGCCTGTAATCCCAGCAGCTAGGGAGGTTAAGGCAGGAGGATGGCGAGTTGAAAACCAGCCTCAGCAAAAGTGAGGTGCTAAGCAACTCAGGGAGACCCTGTCTCTAAATAAAATAAAAAATAGGCCTGGGGATGTGGCTTTGTTGTCTAGTGCCTCTGAATTCAATCCCTGGTAACCCCTCAACACACACAAAAGAAAAGAATAAGATAGAATGCAAGAAAGAATAGCAGGAAGGCTGAGAAATAGGAAGCCTGTGGGTGTGTGGGTGTGGGGGGGATGGGTATGGTGAAGGATTCAGGGTGGGAAGCAAAATCCCAGGAGTGTTGGAGCTGGAGAAGGTATAAAAATGCATCTGGTGGTTCCAGAATCACCTCCCCAACTGACCTATTTGGACACCAGTGTCACTTCCTCTCCTTTTCCCATCCAGGCCTGCCTGTCTTGAGAGCCAACATGCTGTTCGGTGAGTGAGGCCCCCAGCTGCATGCCCACTCTGCCCCATGTGTTTCCCCTCTGAGACCCCACATCCTGTCTCCTGGTTCTGGCCTTTATTCTTTCTTTATTTTCTTTTTCCTGCAGATAAAGATAGTCCCTTCTACTATGGTAAGAGCTGATATCCCCCACCCTTTTTCTATCCTGGGCCTCTTTGCCAGACAAGTTGGCAAAGGGTGGTGTGGAGACCAGTGTAGGCAAAGCGGGGCGGTAGATTCAACCTGTTTTTTGTGAGAGTTGCTCAGGGCCTCACTAAGTTGCTGAGGCTGACCTTGAACTTAGTGATTCTCCCACCTCAGCCTCCAGAGTGTCTGGGATTACAGGCATGTGCCACCAAGCCTGGCTTCCTCATAGTGTTTGACCTCATCAAATACTACATGATGTACTATCTACTGGTTTCATATCTTTTCATTGCCTGGAATGTAAGTGCCGGGTGGGCAGGCATTTATTTATAGTACTCCACCCAAGCAAGTGCTTATAAACACCTTTTTTCTTTCTTTTTGGCTGGGGAATGAACCCAGAACCTCCCACATGTGCTCTACAACTGAACCACACCCCCATCCCCATAAATATCTTGTGAATGAATGTGAGTCCACAGGTTGATGTGAGCTCATTCTTTGTCCTCTCCTAACTATCTCCACCTCAGACTGGGAAAGCCTGCAGCTGGGTGGGCTGATCTTCGCAGGTCTCTTCTGTGTCGCTGGATGTGCCATGGCCCTGAGTGAGTGGTGGGGCTGTCAGAGTGGGAGAGTTGGGGGGAACTGACTCCAGCTGGCTCTCACACTGGCTCTTCCTCTCCTAGGTGGCAAATGCAAATGCAAGTGCAATCAGACCCCCAGGTGAGACAGGGACACTACTGTGTGCACTTCCTGCTGAGCAGACTTATTTCTTTTCTTTTCTTTACTTTTCTTTCTTTCTTTCTTTTTCTTTTTCTTTTTTTCTTTTTTTATGAGCAGACTTATTAGGTGGTAAAGTAGTAAGGCCTGGGAAGCAGCCTGGAGGTTACTCACTGAGATTACAGTGGGATTTGTTATTGACAAATAATTTACCCAAGGGGCCCCAAATCAGAGAAAGCTCTGCTCATTGTAGAAGGGGCCTTGCAGCAAGCAAGGTGTGCCCCCAGAGGGAGGGAAACCAGGAGTCCTGGGGAAGGAAGATAGAAGATCCTCAAAGCTAACCTGATGCTAATCTGGTTACATCCTTTCTCTAGTCCCTTACCTGAAAAAACCACTCCACTCATCACTCCAGGTGAGCTGGGCTTCTGAGGAGTTGGGAGAGGGAAGGGGTGACTGCATAGGGATGCATCTCTGAGGCCGGTCCCAACTCTTTGCAGGCTCTGCCAATACCTGCTGAGCTCAGGACCAGCTTGGAGGGACTCCTCATGATCTCAGCCTTTGCCAGTGGCTGCTCCTGTCTCCCCACTGGAGGCCTTACCCTCTGGAATGGTCTCTCTTCCAGGATGGGCTGTTAGGTGCCCTTCTGATCAGGGGGCTGTCCAAAATTTATTTATAAATTAAATTGGTTTTCACCCTCAAGCGATCTTGTGATCCTCTCTAGGTCTGGGAGGAAATGACAGGGGGCATCCTGCAGATTGCTCCTTTTAGCCTCCTATGTGTCTGGAGGCCCACTCATAGAAAGATTTTGAGACCCTTCCCATTGTTGAACCCCTTCCCCAATATATACCATATCTCCCATTCTAGCCAGCCCCATAGGGATCCATGCACCACATGAAAAACCACAATGTTTTTATCAAAAAACTTTATACTTTTCACCCCTTGCCTAGAAACACTAGAAGTCCTGTAACCTAGAATGACCCTCAGTGGCTTACCCTTATTCAATGAGCACTCTCTAGCTGGCACAGCCCAGGAAATGCAGCAATTCCTTCATTGACCTGTCCACCCCAGGAAAACCCTGTATCCCCCTAGACCAACACATGATATACCCATCCCCAATTTCCTGAGAGACCTCACAAAGAACTCCATGCCAAAAAGCCATGCATGATGCACTTTAGAAACAAAAGTCATCTATGCAAATCTGAGTTCCTTGGTATATCCAAAGCCTGCTCCCTGAAGGCCTCATTTTGTCTTCCTCCACCAGGAGGTGTGTGGAAGTGCCTGCCAGTCATGCATTCTCGACATGCCATTTGACATGCTGTAGTGGCCCAGGCAGGTCCAGGTCCAGTGGACAAAAGGCTACAGCATTTGCAGCGGGAGCGGGGATAAGCTCTGTGGTGGACCAGTTTTCCAGCCAAGAGGTGACACAGGAGCTGAGTCCTCAGAGGTGAAAGGTTAGAGGAGCCACACAAACCACCTTCATAGAGTTTGTGCATGCAAACTACTGGAGGGCATGATGACCTCGCTGATTCTCAGGAGTAGAAAAAAGGCAGTGTGACTGGAATGCAGGTGATAAAATCAAAAGGGAGGCAGGTGCGGTGCAGCGCTGCAGGGAGCACCTTTCTCAGGCACACAGAGAGCCGCTAGCTATGCAGCAGAGCCCTGTGGGAGGGCTGGAGCAGGAGGATTGATGGGCCCTCATGGGGAGGCCATCCCAGTAGAGCCCACTCAAGGTGGCTTCCAAGCCCACCCTTCAATCTTAGAGGGAGTGGTGCAAGAGTTCCTCTCATCTTTAGACTCAGGAGAATGTTGGTGTGATGGATGGCTTCTGAGAAAGGAGGAGGGAAAAAAAAAGCTCTGCCTGATCCAAGTCTGGGTTAACAGGAGGGAACCAGCCTGTCAAGGTGAAAGGAAACAGCATGGCACTCTGACTCGGAGAAACCTGGATCACCACAATCAACAAACCTTGAGAAGCTCTACTGTATGAAATCCTGTTAAAATGAAACCCCACCCTTGCTTGGTGCACTTGTCACTGACATGAGATGCAGCCTCCATTTCCAACCAGAGCATCTAGCATGGGGGGACAGGTTGCTGGATATGGTATTCCACATGCATCTTCAGGTTGTTCCTGCTGGGCTTCATGGTAGTGGAGACCTGTTACATCCAATCCTGCTTTGGCTTCGTGCTTTATTTTTATAAATGTCACTCGAAATTTAAATCCCACAATTGTTCCATTTCTTTAAGAAACTACTCTAGGCTAGAAGTCACACAGTGCCCTGTGTGTAGCCCCCTTATCACCATTAGTCAATAAACCTGACCAGTGACCAATTGCAGGCTTATCCTTACATTGTCAAATATGACACCTGTGAAGGGGATATCAGGGAGATTGGGTTAATCATGGCGTGTGATACTGTGCCGGGAGGCAGTGTGCTGGTGGTACGAGAAGATGCAGGGTGAAGTCAGTGTTAGTGCCATATGGATGGACAAGGGCGGGCCATATGGATGGACAGGGGAGGGCCATGGGATTGGGCTGCTGAATCCCTAGGGAAACAAGCTTTTATGTTTCCCTCCTTGGAGTAAGGAGTGAAATATGTAGCCATGAGATTAGAGGCATCTCTCTCCAGGTTTCTCTTTGTGAGATTACTCCCTGGGCTCATCTTCTCCTAGATGAAGGGCTGCCCAGGAGAAAGAAAAGGTAAAGAATAACTTCCACTATATTCAGCACTTATTATGTGACAGATACTGTTATAAACACTTTGTGCATGCTAATTCAGTTTTCCCAGTAACTTATGAGATAGGGACTCTATTTTCCTTGCTGTTCATAAGGGGATACTGAAGCACTCAGAATTCTCACAGGCAGATGAAGTACACAGATAGCCTCCAACCCATAGCTTCTGAGCTATGTTTCTGAAGGACTGGGTTGTTTCTGACATTTATACTGTCCCAGAGAGAGCCCAGTAGCTGGGCCTACTAGGTGATTATATATTTCTTATTTTAATATGTGTTTAATTAATCTTTTGCTGCTTGGTTAATAAGCTTGTTGGTCAATAAGTTTATTTAAAAAAAAAAACTTTCGTAGAAAACTGTTTGGTTTAGCTCTCAGCAGTCTGTTCCTCAGCTCTGGGGAAGCTTGCCTTTTTTTTTTTTTTTTTGAGCTCCCTCTTTTATAATTAAACAAATCTTATTTTTGGATACTTTATTATCTATTATTTATTTTTATCTTGATTTATTATTGGTCTTTCACGATTTTTATAGGCATTTACAAAGACATATCACTCAGAAGATAAACCAATTCCTGACCTACCATCAAGAAATAATCAAGGCTAAAAGCTTACTAGTCTTTGAGAGCATTTCCTCTCTCTTTTACATGTGAGTTGGCGACCAGAATTCAGGCTATGACAGAACTCAAAGGTGACAATTGAGAAAAGGATTTTTTTTCCTGATTACTGTATAATAGGATTTATTTATATTTATATACAAAGCTAGGGGTATAGCACTTGCCTAGCATACATGAGGCCTGGGTATCAATCCTCAATATCACAAAGATTAATAAATAGCTGGGTGCAGTGGCACACGCCTGTAATCCCAGTGGCTCAGGAGGCTGAGGCAGAAAGATCCTAAATTCAAAGTCAGCCTCGGCAACTTATCAAGGCTCTAAGCAACTCAGTGAGACTCTGTCTCAAAATAAAATATAAAAAGAGCTAGAGATGTGGCTCAGATTGAACCTGGATGGGTTCAATCCCCAGTACCAAAAATAGATAAATAAATAATGCATAAGAAAATAAATATCAAATTCTGGACTTCCTAATCTTTTAATTAGATCTGTTATTTTTGTTCCTGTGCTATTTTTTTTTCAATTAAACAAAAACTTTGCATTTATTTTGAGATAATTAGATACTTACATGAAATTGTAAAAAATAATGCAGAGAAGTACTCCCAGCCCTGGAAACTTCTTGCATAACTAGAGTACACTATCAAAACCAGGATACAGACTAGGCACAGTGGTACAGGCCTGTAATCCCCGCACCTCGGGAGGCTGAGGCAGAAGGATTACAAGTCTGAGAACAACACTGGGAACTTAACAAGACCCTTTTTCAAAACAAAAATTTTTAGAAAGTGTTGGAGATGTAGTTCAGTAATAAAAGTTCCCCTGGGTTCAATCCCTCACACCAAACACCAGGATACACCAACTAACCTTACTGAAACTATACCAGTTTTACCTCATTCTTTTGTATGTGTAAGTATGTTTAGTTCTGTGCAGTTTATGTGTAGATTTGTGTAGCAACCACCACAAATCAGAGGGATCCCTCATGCCAACCTTTTAGAGTCACACTTATGCTGGGCGTGGTAGCACATGCCTGTAATCGCAGTGGTTCAGGAGGCTAAGGCAGGAGGACCACAAATTCAAAGCCAGTGTCAGCAATTTAGCGAGGTCCTAAAACAATATATATATATGGTGCTGGAGAAGTTTCTCAATGGTTAAGCACCACTGGGTTCAATTCCTAGTACCAAAATAAAATAAAATAAAAATATAGTCATATTTACCCCCCCTCCCTATCAAAACCCCAGGCTTAACCCCTGTCAATTAGTAACCTGTTCTTTATGTCTATAATCTTATTATTTCATGGATGTTATATAAATGGGGCTGGGGATGTAGCTCAGTGGGCCCTGGGATCCATTCCCAGGGCTGGAAGCAAGGAAAGAAAGAAGAAAAGGAAAGAAAGGAAGGAGGGAGGGAGGAAAGGAAAGAATGGAGAGAGATGTTATATATAAATAGAATCACATAGTATGTTTTTTGTTTTGTTTGCAGTACTGGGAATTAAACTGGGGCACACTACCACTGAGCTACATCCCAACCCTTTTAAATTTTATTTTGAGACAAGGTCTTGCTAAATTGCTGAAGGGGCCTTGAAATTGTGATCCCCCTGCCTCAGCCTCCTTAGTAGCTGGGATTATGGACTTGCACCATCACACTTGGCAATATGTGTCCTTTTAAGATTAGCTTTTTTTACTGAGCATAATTCTCTAGAATTCCCTCCCAGTTGTGGTGTGAATCAATAGTTTGTTCATTTCTATTGTTAAGTAGTCCAGGAAAGTGCTTTAGAAATAAGGGTCTTATGTAAGAAACTAAAGAAAAACAGTTTTAAGGTTTATTCTAAGATCATTGGCTTGAGAACACTGTTCTGTTTCCCAGAAGGTTGCAGAATCCTACTCTCATTATTATTATTATTTTTTAAGACTATAAACGCAGGATAAGAAGTGAGGGTTAGCAGTTAACATGAGAGATGATAAACAGGATGTCTCAGGGTTCTCTGATTAAGTCCTGTGCCTGGCTCTATAGAGGAATCACTTAAGTCCCAACTCAGCAAGTGGAAGAATGTTCATAAGGCAAGGTCATATCAACTCTGCTCAAAATGTGCTTTATTTATTTTATATATATAAAAAAATTCAGTCGGGTGTTGTGGTGCACACCTGTTATCAATCCCCTATAGGCTCAACAGGCCTCATCATTAGAGCTCCAATTTTACCTTCTGTACTCTCACCATGCCTCCCAGTGTAGCCTTAAGGCACGGGGGTACTTTAGTCCCTCTGCTGCACATTTCCCCAACCCCCCAGGCTTTCTAGGTCACCAATTCCCATCCTTTGGACCGTCTCAGTAGGTTTCTCTGAATCTCTAAAACTGCAGCACCAAAGTCATCCTTCCAACCACTGTTGACGTCTCTTTGTACATAGCCCAAACTATTCCATTTATTTGTTGCTATGGTCCCCCACTCCTACCAGAGTGTAAATTACAATTTTTCATTTGCAGAATGAATTCTCTTGAGTTTTGGCTCATGTGTTTGCCATTCTCAGATCGCAGTTTTGTGATTTCCATTAAGTACATATTGGTTATTTTGAGGTTTTCAAATTCTCAGGGTAATTTTTTAAAAAAAATCTGGTGCCAGGCTAGATGGCTTATGCCTGTAATCCCAGTGATTCAGGAGGCTGAGGCAAAAGGATTGTAAGTTCAAGGCCAGCCTCAGCAATTTAGCAAGACTTGTTTCAAAATAAGAAATAAAAAAAAAAAAATAAAGGGTAGGGGGTTGGGGGTGGGAACACTGGGGATGTGGCTCAGTGGTTATTCAATCCCTGGTTAGGGAAAAATATTCTGGTTGCACTGCTTCCACCAGTTCTCCAAAAGATGAGAATATCATGTGGTTCTAATAGCTATCCCATGCCTACAATTTATGTACATAACGTCTAATAATCAAAAGTATCCAGGAGGATTGCAAGTTCAAGGCCAGTCTCAGCAATTTAGCAAGCAAGGCCCTAAGCAACTTAGTGAGATCCTGTCTCAAAAGAAAAAAATAAGAAGTGCTGGGGATATGGCTGAGTGGTTCAGTGCCCCTGAGTTCAATCCCTAGTACAAAACAAAAAAACAAACAAACAAAAAAAACCATTTTATTTTAAAAAATGTTTTTGGTATGAATATTTATTTTTGAAAACACTGAACACAGATGTGCTTAACCACGAGCAACATTCCCAGCCTTTTTTGAGAAAGGGTCTTGCTAAATTGCGTAGGGCCTTTGAATTTGCAATCTTCCTGCCTCAGCCTCCTGAGTTGCTAAGATTATAGGCATGTACCACAGCACCTGGCCAGAAAAAGACATTTTTATTTTTTGAATCAGGAATTGAATCCAGGGGTGCTTAACCACTGAGCCACCTCCCCAGCCTTATTTTGTTTTTTATTTAGAGACAGGGTCTCACTAAGTTGCCTAGGACCTCGTTTTTGCTGAGGCTGTCTTTGAACTTGCAATCCTCCTGCCTCAGCCTCTGGTGCCACTGAGCCTGGCAAAACTGTCATTATTTGTGAATGATATTTTTATTTATTCTGTGGTCCTGGGGATTAAGCCTAGGGCTTCCTGCATGCCAGGCAAACACTATCATTGAGCTACATAATGTCATATGATTTTGTATGTAGAAAATACAAATAAGCTGGACACAGGGGCATATGCCTGTAACCCTAGCTACTTGGGAGACTAAGGCAGGAGGATTGCTTGAGTCCAGGAGTTCTAAACCAGACTGGGAAACATAAATGCACCCGCCAGCACCTGGCACATGAAGTTGGTCTTACTACAGGGTGACTTGGTCTCCCATGCACTGGGCCCAGCTCTGATGAATTCAGTAGTACTCAGGGGCTGATTTTTTTTTTTTTTTTTCTTTTTTTAAGTGGGTGGC